GGGGGGGGGGGAGGGTTCGGAAGTTAGCCTTGTTGGCTTTGACTATGTCGAAGGGCGAAGCAATGCTCCCATGATTTTTCGAACTTTCGATCAAAAGATGATTTATCAGATTTGTTGGTGTTCTATGTTTATGATTCTGATAGACTGAAGTACAAAGAGAGCAGTAATTCGGGCACCATCCTTAAGATATGCCCTTGAGCATGGCGTATTCACCGTGAGGACTGTTCAAATAAAGGAATCCAAATCTACCTGGGGGAAATCAACTTCGACGAAAGAAGCCAATGCAGTTACTACAAGGCCACTGACTTTCAACCAAAATACCCATCTGACTTGTCATGCTTCACTCTTAATATCCTGCAGGGATTGCGTATCTGCCTTAGTTGGCTTGCCAAAGATTCCTCATACAAAGGACGCACGGTATAGTCGGTAGGTAGCTAGCAGTACCACATACCTTACGCCCACTTCTGCTATATATACGCTTCCCCGGTGTATTTACGGAGGAGGGCCAATGTGTTTTGTCTCCGGGTCTTTAAAATGAGATAGACCTATTTTCAGGTACTTTGCGGGACGTGTATTTATGAAGGACTATTCTTACCAACGCCAACCACCAACCGCCAACCACCAACAGCGCCAACAACGCCAACAACGCCAGCAGCGGCAAAAGTCACATTATATTCCTGGTACACACAGTAGCGCATCGCCAGTTGCGCTTGCACTCCCTGCATCGGTGCGGCTAGCCATGCCGCAAAGCCCAATATCGTATTCTGTACCGCCCTGGGCTTCGTGCAAATAATGCGCATGCCACGGAGATACTGGAGATTCGGAGACCTTTTGATCCTTGTCCCCAACCCGTCCCTCAATCGGGCTTTTTTGGGTATTACGGTACGATAATCTTCGCATCTACGGAGTATGCCTTGTGGGGGAGAATGTCGTGCAGGAAGAGCCTAATCATCGTGGTCTTCGACCCGCTGCTCTCCCGTCCTACATACTCTACTTGCCATGTGCATGGGGAAATGCAGCCACCGTCTTTTTCTGTACCTCTTCCTATTAATATCATAGTTACCGAGTACAACTCTCGTCTGCGATCTAGAAGAAGTGAGGTAGATGGAAGGCAGACTCACTTCGAAGAAGCCTAAGCCTAAGTATAGGTATGACTATATCACTACTATAAGATGATCTATCGATCTCTCATGGCATCCCTCAAGTCGAGAGGCTTTTATTCATTCACGTTCTCTCCACATTCAGTTATATATCTCTTCTCTATATGTCAAGTCCTCCGGGAGAGATCTTTATATAAAACCTCCTTCTTCCCTTGCCTCAGTCATATATCCTCTGCACTTTCTCTCTCAAAACAACAGGCTGCTCGATCCTTCCGAATCTGCGATACCCACCAGTTGAGTAAACTCAATTGGACCCGATCCTCTCGACGTCTTCCTACACCTAGGTACCTTACCTTGTACATCAACGATACAGAACATTCGCCATGCCTTCCTTACGTACCATGACCAGGGACTTTGCCGTCCTGCTACTCTCCATCACTCAGTTGTCTTCCGCAAATCCTCTCCCGGGGCACTTAAAGTTCGCCCCCGCAAAGTTCAGCCCTACTCTCCCCTCTACTGGAGGTATATCCAACTCTGCCGCAGACCCCCTACACACCTCATTGCTAACCCAGGCTTTCCCCAGGCCCCACCTCGCTCCCATCCACAAACCTCACTCTGCAATACATTGCTCTCGGTCGTGGCATCCAGAACTACACCTGTGCCAGCCTCTGCAGCGCTCCTGTCGCCCTCGGCGCTGTCGCCACGCTGTACGACGCCACAACCTTAGCCAAGACTAACGAGGCCCTCCTCAATACCATGCCTGGCAAAGCCGTCATGATTCCTCCCTCACGCGATGGTTACGATCTCCCACCTCCCGCCAACAATCTCCGGGTTCTGGGCCACCACTACTTCGCCGCGGATTCAACCCCAACCTTCAATCTGACGGCCGTCAACAAGATCCTCTTTGGCAAGAAGAATGGAGACATTCCCGCCCCTGTCGGGGCGCCCAAGGGTCCCTCGGGCAACGGGGCCGTCGACTGGCTTTCTTTGGTTGAAAAGCCCGACTATAGCGAAAGTGTAGGATTGGGCCAGGTTTACCGTGTTGAGACGGCCGGTGGCAATCCACCAGCAGCATGTTCGTCAACGGGGGTCGTGAGTGTACAGTATGCTGCGGAGTATTGGTTTTACGCTTGAGTTGACCACCATCGTATGAAAAATAGGGAAACAAAAGGAATGGGCGGCTAATTGGGGCGTTGGGAATCACTTCTGTGTACATAATTCTTTACTTGAGTTTTAGGTTTTGTAATGCTGGCGGGACTTGCTAAAGAACAGCGAATCAAAGCAATGGATTCAAAGGTGTCATTTAGAGAAGCAGATTCTCCGGCTTGCAAATGATGTGGTGATACTGAGAACTAGGTATTCTCATCAGGCCCAACGCACAATAGAGAGGAACCGAACAGCAACCCAAGACACGGCCCTTGTAGCTGTCTATGCAATGTCATATGAAGAGAGACATAGACGCCAACTGCCTGGGAAACAGACGTAAACAACGGGATTCGAGACTTCTCGCATGAAACTAGGAAGGACGCAAAAGACGAGCAAAAAGATTTCACTAACTGATGTATGTGACCAGAATACGAATATTTGAAACCTAGGTACCTACTCGAGAAGGATCTAGTACAGGGATACATACGTTCGGTGGACATACTTTGGAAGACAGACAAACCACCCATAATACCTGCAATAGAATCTCCAGTCTCAGCTGAGTCTTGTTCTTAAGGCGGGGCTACGTGGATGGCTCGAGCCGAATGCTCCACTCTAACTTGACCATCTCCTTTACCTGAACATTGCACCCAGGAAGTCTTAATTTCTCGTACGAACAATATGACTGACTGTGGTTACTGGAGACCTAATCCTCCCTTTTCAAAAGGTGTTGGCCGTCCAATGGATCCCCAAAATCCTCATCATCAAGATCTAATTATCACTCAACAAAGCCTGAGGAAACTCGCAGAGAGGGTTTGGACCTGGCAAAGATTTATATAAGCTGTGGCTTCGCTGTTGGTTCACCAAAATTTCTCACTTCAACCGCCGAAAGAGATATAAAAAAAAAATCAAAGTCGCTAATCATCACCGTCGAGCTCTTCTTCCCGAACCCGAAATCAATTTATGCATGCATAGCATCTAGCCCTCCCTGGAGATCCTGCTCCAGACCTGTCGCTCCTTGCCCATACGCTTCCTGGGGTCTTGGATCCTCTGCACCCCAGCTGCCACCGCCTTGAGGGATAGGGACTGCTGGTCCCTGGGATGGGGCTTGCTGGCCTGGCTGGATCCTCACATGCTGTCTGAATCTGTGAACCTCCTCTAGGATCATCTTACGCATTTCACCAACGTCTTCCACAACCTCAAAGTCGAAATTGAAGGTAGTGGGGCAACCTGGCTCGTCCGAGGCATCGTGCCAGATGTGCAGATATGGATGCTCGAGAGCGCTTTCGACGGAGATTCGGGATGAGGGGTCAAATGCTAGCATTTGGTTGAGGAGGTCCAGCGCATCGGGATTGGCAGTGGGGAAAAGCGTGGGGAAAGGTCGCTTGGCCATGAATGGCAAGTTGCGAACGTACTCTTGGGCACGGGGCGAGCCAATGCGAGATAGTGTCTCCTCATTGGGCGTGCCGAGGATATGGAGGATCTGATTGAGTTGATCGACGTAATCTCTGCCCTTGAAGAATGGACGCCCGCCGAGCAGTTCTGCAAGGATGCAGCCTACAGACCATACATCGACTGTAGGAAGTTAGAAAATATTCCGTAGACTAGGTAGACAAATCTTACTAGCTTTCGTGTAACTCTGGAAACTCAACATGATCTCCGGTGCACGGTACCATCTCGTTGCTACGTATTCGGTCATGTATCCAGCGTTCTCCTCGGGGTCAACGGAAAAGCCTCTGGCCAATCCAAAATCACAAATCTTCAACTCGCAGTCTGCGTTGACCAACAAGTTACCCGGCTTTAAATCTCGGTGAAGAACATTGGCAGAGTGTATGTATTTCAGTCCGCACAGGATCTGATAGATGAAGGATTGGAAATGTGCGTCGGTGAGGGGTTGTCCAGATCGAATGATAGCAGCGAGATCGCATTCCATGAGTTCTATCTCGACGTTAGAGTTTGAGTAAAGCGAGAGGGGTTATGATCGTACCCTCGTAAAGGTAGGTCTCGTTGAAGTTATCAGGTCGAGGGATATCCATATCATAGAGACATGTAATCTGCTTCCATCAGAACAAACCCACAGCCAGTTATGAGCAATGACATACGTTCCGGTGCCCTCTGAAATGCTGAAGCAGCTTTATCTCTCGCAGCGCACGCTTCGCCAGGATCTTCTTGCTAAAGACATTGGTGACCTTCTTGATCGCAACGCCCTCTTGGGTCTGCGTGTTGGTTGCAGCACTGTAATCAACTTGTTAGCGGATATCACCAACGATGATTGGGAGGAGGGTTCTCAAGCCTACCAGACGATACCGTAAGCACCCTGACCAAGCTCCTTTGTCACCGTGTATCTCTCGTCAACGATAAAGTCTTGGTTGAAGACCTTGAACACCTTTCTTCCCTGGAGATCTGACATGATGCCGGAGAACGAGGGGGACGAGGCTGCGACGGGACGACGTTGGTTTTCTCAATTCTAGATTCTGCGATCACAGCGGAGCAGAGAAGAGCAGAAGAGAATGAAGCAAGTCTCAGCTAACTGTGACTGCGCTCAGTGTTGGGATCTGCGGTATTATAACTGCTGTAGCCGCGCGACAGAGGCAGGGAGAGGGGTTGGCTTCGGCACAGCCGCACAGGGGAGATGGGGACGCCGCAAACAGCGAAGCCCGGAAGACAAAGGAATCGCGAAGTCTTGATATTTCAGGCCGGTGTCAACGAGTGTAGGGCTGCGATCGCTTTGCTGGCCTTTACAAAGGGGTCGTCCGCGAGGATGTAAGCCTTAATGCAAAAGGATCGCACTGCGCAGCATCTCTCTTGTCTCCTCAGATGGTGGGGTCGGAGTAAATACGCGAGGCCAATGGGAGAGCTACGGAGGATTATCTATCACTTACTGTACTGTTGCTGCATTCGCCGACGTGCATTTGACGGGTCTCGTTCACTCCTCAAGAACTCAAGAATAGAGAGCTTCAGAACAGAAAACTACTCATAGATTGGAGAGCACTACTTTACACTTTGCATTTGAGTGGACTTATGAAGGCCTACATACATATCGAACTAACCGAGACTCCACGCTCCCGCTCCCGCTCCCGCACCCAAGACGTTATACCTTACATACTGTACAGAGGCATGACAGGCCTAAAGAACGTATAGGATATTTCCTTGCAAATCCCAATACTGCCCGTGGTCCCCATATTGTCACATACCGAGGCCACCCTGCCTGGTTCGTTTGTATCTCCTTCCATCCCTTCTTCACATTTTCTCACGCCCGAAGGCAAGCTCCCTGTCCCTTCTCATCCCATCCAGGACGCCTACCAGGCCGCCACTCCTCAACCTCTCCAAGACGATCATCATCCCCTCCTTACTTTTGCCCAATTGGTTCTCCGTCTTCCGACTGGCAATGGCCTCGATGCTCCTTTGGATTCCACTGGTGCTCCAGCTTGACAAGAATCCTTTCTTCGGCTCATCGTCAACCTCGGCCACCGCGGCTTCACCCTTCCTCGTTCCTCTAGCCCTCAACCTCTCGCCCAACCTGCTCCTGAACATAACCGTCGTCGTCACCCCAGTCGTGCCGGCGCCGACCCTGAAGTCATCGCCCTCATCGACCGGGATCTGCCGTCGATACTCCTGCTTCTCAACCACGCTTAAGATTCCAGTCCAGTCCAGGTTCTTGCTCTCAGTCTTCATCCATCCTTCCTTGATATCAATTGTGCTCGTTTCCAAGATGTAGCTCTCGGATCGACCACTCCGCACATTGCCGAGCACGCTCTTCGGCAGCAGCTTCAAGACGGCGGGTGGCAGACGTGAGGATTTGCGATGGATCCGGAGCGTGTGCAATCGGCCAGAGACGGGATCGACAGAGCGGGAGATCACGTCCGTGGAGAGAACATGCGTAGAATATGGGTTAGGGTAGCGGAGGAAGTAGGCGAGTGTTACGGCTGGGAAGGTGTAGTCGTAAGTGAAGGACGACTCGTAGAACTTGACCATTATGGATATGATAGGAGATGCATCTGCCGGTGCTGTACGTCGACGCGGACTAGAGGCCGGATGGCATTCGCAGACTGAGGAGAAGGTAGGTAGATATAGGCTGGCTAGTATATAGAGAGAAGAATGAGGAGGAGGAGAAGGAGTGTTGAGGTGGAGGTGGCGGACGAGGTGGAGCGGGACGGTTCGCTGCTGGTCGGAGCAGAAAGAGACGACTCGCGTGTGCAGGTCTGGCCGGGTTAGGCTGAACCCCAGATTTCGGCCCAATGAGGATTAGCCGTGACGAAGGCATTCCCGCACGAGACGTCAACTGCGCGACTTTCTTATTTTTTCTTTGTATTTTTGATTTTTCATCTTGCGTATATACATATATATACTTTATTTCCTTTTGGAAGAAAAGAAGATATAATCCTTTTCTAAAAGGAAGAAAATCCCCCGGCTGCCAATCGTCCCTACATTCTCTCCCGTCCAGATCGCCTGGACCGCAAGCAAATAACAGAGTCCGCAAAGTGCTGGCCCAAGAACACATTCCTCATGATTCGTTCCCAGCAGATACCATTCGTCGATTTGTCAAGTGGCTCGATTCTCCAAGTACGTTACTGTAGATCGAATATGACACAAGCAGTCTTCGGCTTCGATGCTCGGTAAATGCGCTTTCCCCCCCTCTCTCGTCACACCATCCCTCACGGCGCTTTGCATATGGCCAGCCCAGTGCCTATGCGCCACAGTAGCTCAGATCTTGCAAGGCTCGGGTTTCAAAGCGTGTGCTCTCATAGATGCATTCGCTATATTCATGAATGAAAATCGAGCCGAACGAAATCGTGAATGAGATTAATGGATATGCGTTTTCAGGAAATCGAGAAACGAGAGAGCCATCGTCTTAAGCTCAAGAAGTTTCAGCAGTAAGTAGGGCTCACAGCTGATAGAAGAAGGGGTTATAGCAAGGAAAGAGTTGGGAGGGGAAATGAAACCGGAACCCCAGAGCTGTGGCCAGGGAGGGTGGGGAAGCGAGTGGTAAGGCTGTGGAGGGAGCACGGAGACTGATGAGGAATCAAGAGGAGCTTGCGAAGCAGAAGGCAATTGAGGGGAAGAGGGCTGTAGCTCAAACCCAAAATCCAGCTACCCAGCTACTTAACGAATATAGCCATGACCTAGTAGTACATTTGGTGCTGTGCTTCGAATGTCCATTCACAAGCATGGATCCACTGACCCACATCCCCAGATTGCTAGCATATTCACGGTATAGGGACTAGGAATATCAGAGGCCAATATCAATCCGTATTATACAAGACGGATGAATTTTCTAAAATACCAAGCGTCAATGAAGATGATCAAATTCCACAAAGTCCACCTGGGCCGCAATGTCTGAGCGCGAGATATCACACTCCTATGCTGTATTCTACGTCTCCACTGCCAGCCACCTTCACCCCACGAAGACATAGCAGGCATCATCCTGACTCTCCTACGTAGCCGAGTATGCAAACTTGCAAGAGAGCGGCACTGGCCTGACCTTATAGCCGCTTTCTAATGGATGGAATGAAATCATAGCTTGTCGAGTATTGCAACAGTCATCCGAGTATGCCGAACACTGGAACACTGGAGCTCTGGACCTTGGGCCATGTCAAGAGCGGAATGCGGATATGATAAGGGGGTTGTCACGTGGTTAGACAAAAGGGTACACTGTGATGGAGGATGCCGAAGTGCGATTGCAAATTAGGTGGATGAAAGAGAGATTGGAGGGCTAAATCAACGCCTCTGAGACAGTCGGTATGCGGTAATTTTGTCGAAGGAGAATAGGATTGTGGCAGCTTTTGCAAAGTGTCTTTCAAAAATTATAATCTTGGTATAGCTCCGAAAATGCCTATCCTTCTTGTCGATACCGTTGCCTGAAGTGCATCAATGCCGCTCCTCATCGAACCTATTCAACCTGATTGTCTTGAGGCTTATACCATAGTATAGAACATGTACATTCAGGCTTGATCGACGCGTGTTGACGCCTCGACTCGGGGTCAAACCAAAGTGCAGATCTGAATTGTGCGTGGCCGAGCGCAGAAATAGAGCCATCGGTAGTCTGGGAAGGGCGTGGCCCCCACCGAAGGAACCCATTTCCCGGTTGTAATCCAGAAATCAAAGAGGATACCGGCCTATTTCGATTTGCTGGCAGCTTCCTCGTCCGCCAGCAGTCCAGCGATTTCTTGATCTCCAAGCCAAGTCTTGACACTCTCAATGATCTTTTCCAGCTCAGGTCCACCCTCCATCACATCATCAAGATTGTGCACGCTCAGACCGCTTCGGTGATCTGTGACTCTCTGTTGGCCCCAATTGTATGTCCGGACCTTGTCTCCTCTTCCCATCTTGGCAACTCCAATAACGTTTCTCCTCATTGCCACGATCTCTTCTTCTCTTGCCTCTCTTCTGGCTTGTGCCAACTTTGACCTCAGTAACTGCCATGCCTTTTCTCTGTTCTTATGCTGGGACCTCGAATCCTGCATGCTGACAACAGTGTTCGTTGGAAGATGAGTCAATCGAATCGCGGAATCCGTAGTATTAACATGTTGTCCCCCTGCACCCCTCGCTCTCATGACATCTGTCCGCACTTCTGTGGGATTGACGTAGTAATCACTTGTTGGATCGTTCACATCTACCTCCCCTAGTTCTAACCCCTCACTACCGTTTGCGGGCAAGCTGGGAAGTACCAGCACACTTACAGCACTCGTATGTGTTCGACCTTTGCTTTCCGTCGCTGGGACTCGTTGGACTCTGTGAACACCGGCCTCACTTCGCAGCTCCCCATATGCCCCTCGGCCTTCAATCTCGAGAATTGCTTCTTGTAGAGGGGCGGTACTATCAGAGGAATCTCCGTCCGCGGTTTCGTATTTCAAAAAAGAGGTGCGGAAGTTCTTTCGCGAGCAATACGCTCTGTACATCCGGAGCAGATCCCCCGCGAAGAGAGCTGCCTCTCCTCCTCCAGCGCCGGGTCGAATTTCAACCAGGCATGGGAAATCTTCAAAAGGATGCTTCGGAGTAAGTGACGTAGTCAGTTTTCGAGTGAGTGCTTCCAATTCAGAACGAGTACTCGCTAGATCTTCAACAGCTAGCTCACGGAGCTCCTCATCGGTCGACGGATCTTTGAGGAGTGCTTCCAGCTCGGATAGTGAGTTTTGTGCATCCTCCCATTCTTTCAGGGCCGTTGCAACTCCTTTCAACTCCCCAATTCGTTTCGAGACCTTCGCATCAAAATTCTCGGATGTTTCCTTGCTCAATTTATCGTGTTCGGATGCCATATTACGGGCTCGCGCGAGCAATGCAGGTGAAAAGGAGCCATGGCTTGCTGTGTTTGCGTGAGTGGTTGTTCCAGAGGAGATAGAGGGGGTCAACACTGACTGGTGCTGGTGCTAGAGAATCGTAGAAGTCGTCGTCTACCAGGCTTAAGGTATGTATCTAAACATCGTCGACAGATCCAAGGAGCTCTAAACATACTCGATCGGTGCTGCGTTGATTCCTCCTATTCTGAAGCTCTTCTGTTTTTTCTGGAGCTCTGGGTTCTGCCACCGCCTTTGGTCCGTTGATAATTTTACACCGGCCTTTTTGCTATTAAGCTACCACGTTGTCCAAAAACGGAAGTCAGGAAAGGGGGGATGGTCGTATCTATATCAATGATTCTAAAGTGTGACACATCTGGTTGACTACCTACCGAAATCGCTCTGGCACCCCAACTTTCTACCTAGTTTTCCCCTCTTGGGACTACTCTCTACCTAGGTTATCAATTTATATATATTTGCTTGCTTCCCTCTCATTGATGTTATTTTTCTGTTGTCTTTGAAATCTCAATTGAATTCTAGCCCAGTGGCAAAAGTCTCACAGCTACTCGCGAATCCAAGTTACTCGTATTCGAAGAGGCATCCGCACCTCACCACTCACCATCATGCCGTCAAACCTCAACTCCGTGTTCCCCGCAACGGATCCTGAGTTCATATCTTTTCCAAGCAGGAGAAGTGTGGTTCACAGTACGGAGGGAATGATCGCATGCACTCAGCCTCTGGCCGCAAGATGTGGTCTCAAAATCCTCGATGCTGGTGGAAATGCTGCTGTGAGCCCCATCACCCCACTTTCCAAATATTTTACTGATAACAAAACCAGGATGCAGCAGTTGCTGTTGGTAAGTCTCATAGTTAAGCATTGACTGGCTCTCCTAATCATTTGCTAGCTGCCGGCCTGAATCTGACAGAGCCAACATCAACTGGGATTGGTGGTGATATGTTCTGCCTCTTTTACAATGCTAAGACCAAGAAGATCCAGGCTCTGAACGGCTCGGGCCGTGCAGGCATGAAGTGCACTCTTGAAAATATTCGAAAGGATTTGGGTTTGAAGGATGGAGAGAAAGGAGACATTCCTTTGCATAGCGTCCATGCAGTCACAGTGCCTGGTGCAGCAGCGGGATGGGCTGATACCGTTGAAAGATTTGGGAGTGGAAAGTTATCCTTGGAACAAATCCTAGCTCCAGTTATTGAATTGGCAGAGAGAGGCTTCCCAGTTTCTGAGCTTTCGTCCACAATGGTAGGCTCCCTTCCCTGTCCCCAAAAATCATGTTATTCGTATTTAATCATGTGACAGTGGAGAAATGGCGAGAAACTGCTCCAAAAGGCATCCCCGAATTTTGCAGAGCTCCTCAAGCAGAATCCAGACGGCACGTATCGTGGACCTCGACCTGGTGAGCTCCTCAAGAACCCGAACCTGGCCAACACTTTCCGAACACTCGCCAAAGAAGGAAAGAAAGGTTTTTACACCGGCCGGATCGCAGAAGCAATTGTCAAGGTGACCAAGGATCGCGGTGGATTTCTCGAACTCGAAGATCTGCAAAAGCATCTGGAATTAGGCAGCGAGCCAGTAGCCCCCATTTCGAGAATCTTCAAAGGACAGGGCTACGGCCAGGATCAGGCAAAGTACGTCGACGGGATCTCTGGACAGGGCAGTAATGAAGATAACACTGGCGTGGAGGTCTGGGAGCACCCGCCAAACGGCCAAGGGATCGTAGCCCTCATGGCCCTCGGAATACTCGAAGAGCTTGAAAAGAGTGGCAAGATCCCCACCTTCACGAAAGACCAGCACAACTCCGCGGAATATCTCCACGCCGTCATAGAATCCCTTCGGATTGCCTTCGCCGATGCAAGCTGGTGGGTCGCAGACCCTAACGTCTCCAAGGTTCCTGCCGCAGAGCTCGTCTCGGAGAAGTATCTCGCGGAGAGAGCCAAACTGTTCGACCCCACGAAGGCCAGCGACAAGATTTACGACCATGGCAGTCCTGCCCATAACCATAGCGACACGGTGTATTTTGCCGTTACCGACAAGGAAGGCAACGGCATCTCCTTCATCAACTCCAACTTCCATGGTTTCGGCTCGGGCATCATCCCCGAGGGCTGTGGATTCGTGCTGCAGAACCGCGGAGGGAATTTCCAACTTGAGCCCGGCCATCCCAATGCGATTGCTCCCGGCAAGAGACCCTACCATACCATCATTCCTGCAATGGTTACCAATGTCCACGATGGAAGCCTGCATTCCGTGTATGGTGTAATGGGCGGCTTCATGCAACCGCAGGGCCATGTCCAGGTCTTACTGAACATGTTGGCCTTCAAGTACAACCCTCAGGCAGCTCTCGACGCCCCCCGATTCTGTATTGGAGCCGAGGGCATCCCGGGCGATGGCAATGGGAGGAAGGTCTTTTTGGAGGAGGGCATCAGTGAGGATGTGTGCGAGCAGTTGAGGAAGATGGGACACCAAGCAGAGATCGTCACAGGGTATGCGAGAGGCGTGTTCGGCAGGGGCCAGGTCATTAGGTCACACGTAGAGGATGGAACGGCCGTTTACTCAGCTGGTAGTGACCCGAGAGGAGACGGAGCTGCGTTCCCCGGATAGATAGTATGGGCATAGCGAGGTTTTGGTCAATGTGCCAGTTCTCGACGCTATGTGTTCTGGTTTGGTGACCTGAAATATACCCTTCATTTCTGCAACTTGCTCTAAGTTAAATCAAAATGAACCTTTCAACACAAGACCTCCCACCTACAAGATACCACTGAACATTTTGGCTTTAGTGCCCCTTATCCTCAGCCATACTTCCCCAGCCAACAGCCTGATCCTCAACCTCTACAGCGAACTCTATACCTAGAGATACTCTCGTTTTACGTGCACGGACGATTTGCTGTAGATGACTGTACGATAATTATAGGAATCGAATCTGTCGTATTATTCTGTTCGTACAGGGTCTAAGTTCGCCAAGATCATAACCGTGCTCAGCAGTGAGATTTTTTGTAGTGAAGGAAATCATTTATCTAATGAATTTGGTCTGATGTAGCTTCATTAATGCTTGCGTCTAATGTACAATAATTGTAAGCCGTCATAGTGCAAGCTGGTACCACGGGCCCCGTTCCCAGAGGAAGACCCAAAACTCCATCGCTTATGAAATTTGTTTGGTGATACAATTGGCAGAGATTCTTCCGATGAAATGCGCAAATGCAGCCAGCCAGTTGTTGTGATCGTGCCACAGCACGCATGCCGAACCCTAGGATACAGAGAAAGAAATGTGTAGAGGTCAAAGAGTTTGGGTATATCCATGCTCTCGAAACGCCTTCCCATGAACAAGTGCCGCAAATAAACGAGTGTTTGGTTGTCATACGTACTCAACTCAGCCATGAGGGTTGCTCGGCCAGTCAAGCTCGGTAAGTCAACGGGTGATGGGATATGGTGTGTTGTAGCTGTGGAAGGTGTAGCCACTTAATTTTCACCGTCGTGTAGAAAAGTGCATTTGGCACCTTTCGCACATTTTCCTTGGCCCCAAAATTTGCACGGCTTCTTCTTTCCCTTGTATTCACCATTCTCATCAAACAGCCCATCGTTACCAAACCCGCCGTTCCACTGCTGCGAATCGAATCCCCGCTGGTTGCCATCCGAACTATGATTGTCTTGGGTCTGCTTTGGTCGTGCCTGCAACTGCTCGTTCTCCCACTCCCCTTGACCCGGGCCATTGCTAGATGGCCAGCCAGTGAAATTGTATTGTTGATAGGCAGAGCCGTTGTTGTTTCCATTGTTAGCAAAACCTGCAAGGTAGGCCTGAACCTGCTGGGCTACGTCGTTTGGAAGCTCGGGGATCGAAGCTATGTTGGGCTGCGGCGCCTGCATTGGGAACGATTGCATTTGTTGTGTTGACATCTGTTGGTGAATTTGCGTAGGAAGCATGGGCTGCGGTTGAAACTGAGCAGCCTGCACCTGAGCCATCTGATCACCAGAAGCCTTCCGCTGGTTGGCGGCCTTATCCCTGTTGTAGCCTTCCCACCATTCCGCCCGCTGTGTCTCACTTGTCATCCAATCTGGTGGTTCGGTGGCTGGATACGGCTTGCCCTTCAGAGACTCCACGATGCGCACAAGGTTTTCCAAGGCTTTGGGATCCATTGTAGTTGTAGGTTTCTGAGACAAATTCTGTTGGTGCGACAGTTGAGATGTTGCAGGATCACCACCAAGCTGTTGTAGAATCGAAGAAATATTTGCCGAAGGGGGTCCTGCGGATGTAGCAATACCGCGAGCCCGATTTTCGCGTATCTCTTTGAATCTCTGTTCCTCGTTTCGGCGCAGGAAGATCTGGATCGCGTAATCTGGACCGTATTGCTGGATTTCTTTGAGGCGCTGTACTATCCACGGTTCAGTGGGCCCTCTAAGTTCACGCTCTTGCTGCAGAGCTGTGGAGTCTTGCGGTGGTTCTTTCGCCGAGGGTGGAATGTCATTGGGATCAGTATAGATAACCATAAGTTCCAAAGCTTCGCGTCGCTCTTGTGTTTGCTGCTCGGGCGTCGTGAAAGTTTTATCCCCGCCCCTCGTAACATAAGTTGGTCCGAATAACGTTGCTTTGTCCAACTCGCTGAAATCAATCAGGACAAGATCAGGGTACGGGCGTTCCTCGATATCGCCAGGTAAGCTCTCATCATCTTCGAGGCCTGCATCCATCTTCTCCGAAACACGCTTCTTGTGCATCATACCCTCCGAGCGATCATCATGAGCATCCCTAAGCATGTCGTCTTGGCGACCTTCATCCTCAGCCTGCTCATGCTTGAATAATCTTATCTCCTCCAGCTCTGGCCCTTCCTTGAACTTAACCCTTAAGTGCCGTCTGCTCTCCTTCCGCTCACGGCGCTGCTTCTCCTCTGGTGTCTCCGGTGGTCGAGGTGGTGCTTCTGGAGCTTTAGGTGGTTCTGGTGGCTTTGCGATACTTGCCAAAATTGCCCCTAATTTCGATTCGCCTGGAGGGGATGGCTCGCGCTTCTTGGGAGCAGGTTTTGGAGCAGGCTTCGACGTGATGCCAAGCAAGTTGTTCGCCAGAAGGTTGGTTGGTCGTTTCGGTGGCACCGACTTGGATGTGGAAGCGGGCGTACCAGAAACATCTGATGCGAACTTCTTGTTGGGCTTGCTAGCGTTGGAGTCTCCTTCATGTGGTCTCTTTGTGGATGTGACATTGGATGCAGTTTTTACGGTTTCAGAGCTTCGAGCTTTGGCCTGATCTATCTTGTCCAGAACCTTCTTATCCTCTTCTGCTCGCACGGCTTCCTTTTTAGCCTTCGCCGCTCTATCCTTGGCGTCAGTTGTATTGGCAAGAATTGAGGCGATATCCTTTTTGATCTGCTCATCGCCCTTCTTATTCCAGCGCTTCTGAATACTGTCAAATCGAAGCTTCTTCAACAAAGCTTCAGTCATTGTTTGAAACTTGGCAAGCAAGCTAAAGATAGCCTTTGGCAATTTACCAAGAAAATCTTCAGTTTTGATGCACTCGATCAAAGTTGTCGTCAGTCCGTGAACTAGCTTTTCATGACCTCCCAAGTTCTCTACGATTGCACCATAGCCTAATGTATTTGCCGCATTAATGGTCTCATACAGCGAGTCGAGAAGGACTCTCCGAGCTTGCTTCAGTTTATCAACTTCGGCTGGACGCTGCGCAGCTTCTTCCGTCTTGGTAGAATTTGCTTTAAGTTGAAGTCGGAGCGCACCCACAAAAGCACCATACTCCTCGATAGCACCTTTGACAACATCTGCACTGGGATTCGAGTTGGGATCCTTCCATACAATGCCTATTGCGTCCCAGCCAGCCGCGGCAGCGACATCGGACGGGCGCGTTGGTGCACGAACCTATTGGTCATTATTAGTCTTTGCCATCAATACTAATTATCACATTCTCCAGAAGGTCTTGTTAAGAATCACCGTTGACTGTATATCAACGCGCAGATCGACACTGTACATAACGTCTTTGCCCAAGTCACCAGCAATGGAACACGTGCAAGTATGTTGAAGCTTACCTCGCTGATATCCTTGACAGGCATCTCTTCATCATCTTCGTATTCGGACTCTTCTGAACTAGACTCCTCTTCGGAAGAGCTCGATTCAGTTGGCGTGGATGGAGATTTTGATGATGTACCCAAACTTTCACCATTGCCATGTAGACTCGTCGATCTATCAATTGCTTGTCTAGGACCCTGACTGGTTCCCTTGTACTTGCTCACAGACAGTTTCTTTTCTTTGGGGGCTCGGATCTTTTTGGTGGCGGAGGATACGCGCGCGGGTGTTGATATCCCTAGGCGAGAAGCAAAGTCAATAACAAAAGCTCATAAAAACTGAACACAGGTCGCCAAATTGGAAACCAGGTTCATAAATTTACCGAGACATGACCAAAGGACTTACGTGATATGTCAAAACCAGGGATAAGATCTTGTCCACTCCTCGCTGTGCGCGGATGGTATTTAGGGACTGTGCCTGCCAAATATCAAAGGTCAGTATGTTGCATGAATCTAAATAAGAATAGATGAAACGCCCGAGGAGATAGATACTAACTTTTCAAGCCAGGCGGTACGTATACGGGGGTATCGGACCATACGATATACGGCGCATGTTCAAAGCGTGGTGGCCCAGTTAATAGCTCCGGGTTGGTTATCCTGGGCTGCTTTCGATCCGGTTCTACCTTGGTCTGTTCTACCTTGGTCTGTTGAGCAGGGGGATTATTCGAGGGTGCCGAGGGCGTTGAGGGTGTCGAGGATGCATCGCCTTCACGAGGTCTCTTCACGCTTTGCTTGGACATATAATCCATGGAACCATTCGGCAAAGTAGGGTACCGAATGGGGTTATCTTGCTGCATGTTACCATTCTGAGCGTCATGGAAGAACACCGTGGATTGCTCTGGAGGCCGCTGGCTATAGCTATTCGTCGGCTGCTGAAAAGGTACATTCGACACACCACCATGTATTGGTTGGTTGGAGGGCATATTGTATTGGAGGGAGTGGGGGGATATAGTTGCGCTCTCTGGCGGGAACGAGAAGGAGCTTTCGGGCCCGTGATAGAGAGCGGCGCCTGGCATGGAAGAAGGATCGACATTGTATGAGGCAGGCCCAAAAACATCAGACGGTGTCGCATGTTGATACTGCGAAGTATACGGCGGGTTTGAGAAAGGTACCGCATACGCTGGTTGTTGGTACTGGTTGAACGAAGGTTGGCTTGTCGTGTACCGCTGATAGGGGTCTTGTACTGGGTGAGATTGCGGGAAGGAGAATTGATCTCCAGCGGAAACAGGCCACGCCGCGTTGTTCATGAGATCATCGTAATTGACATCCTCCTGTTGAAGGAAGCCGTGGTGGGCATTGCCCTCCATGATTGCGAGTGAGGGAAGTGTATATCACGTGATATATCCTGGTCAGGGGTGGATGGAGGGCAGTGGAGGGGGTTTGGTGGAGTGGAGCGGGAATCCGCGCGGAGTGCGTAGATTGAAAAGACGGCTGAGATTATCGCGGAAGACTCGCAGCGCGGGGCCGTAAGGGTGGTAAGGGCGGGAGCGTAGTGGGCGGGAAGGTGAGATAAGGAAGGCTATGCGTGATGAATGATTGGGCCACTAAACGAACACTCTCGAATCAGCAAGGCAGCAAGGCAACAAAGGCAGACGGCGCAGAGAACTAGCGGTACGGTGGCCGTGATGGGCGGTACGGTGGCCGGAGAGTAAAAGATAGCTCAAAAGGGCGCCGTAAGCAGGAATGGACCGCCGCTCTTCCCGGGTGTTTCCGTCTCGGGCAAAGAAGAAAAAGCGCGACAAAGAAGTTGAGTTGCCTGCGAACTCGAGAGTGTGCAGCGCACTCAACGGGCTCCCACGAGCAGTGACAGATGCCGGACACTCAGAGAGTCCCCGGAGGAATGGCCTGACGGCTGCAATACGGGCAACAAGTCTAGACCCCCTTACTCTCCCGGCTCATGGGCTTCTTGGGATTCTTCTTGTGGGGCGAAACACTTTTGGGCGAGTTGCGCGTTTGCGGCCTTCCTGCTGTCTCTCTTCTTCGCCGCCAATTACTCCCGTCCTCAGGGCCAACGAGCAAGATGTTAAGGTCAAGGTGTTACCGTACCCTTATGCTTCTTGTTTCTTGGAGTCTAAAAGGTAAGCTCTCCCACAGAGCGAGCGCAAGCAGCCCTTTCAACCCTTTTCAACCCGGTCACTTTTTGGTTCAGTTCATTTGTACGATGATCATTTGTTTCTGTTAACAGTCGCAGCCATGGCGGCCAGAGAAGAAGAATAAGACGACGATGAAGACGAAGAAGAACTTGGGAGGCTGCGACAACTGACAGACGATGGGTTGGAGATGTAGAACTTGGGGGGTTGGAGATGGAGGCGATGAAGGAAGGGAGAGAGAGAGTGAGGTGTTGTTGATGGAAGATCGGCTGCGGACTTCGTTTCAATTTGACGCTTCGCTTCGCTTGCTTCTTCGGGACAGATCTCTAGACTATTTATAGTTAGGCAGATATCGATTCGCAGAGGTTTCCTTTCCACTTTGGGCGTGGCGCGGGTCAGCCGTGACTTGTCCCGAGTAGGTTAGTACATCTTAGGTACCTTGGTACACAAGTTGACGCCTTGACGCCTTACTATCTACGGTCCCTCGCTCAGGCATCAAGAACCCATGCGTAGGAGAAGGTCCAAAGCTACTGGGTTACTGTGTACTTTCTCTAGTATTATTCTTGCGCATTGTCCCGACGAACTGCTCTACGACCTCTCTCACGAATCCTCTGTTATCTAAGTTTGGAGGAGGAGCTGCCAGACTTTTACATTACATGATACAAACCCGCTCCGGAATCTTGGCTGGCAGCCTTCCAGAACACCAGCACTTACCATGGCATCAAGCCACAATTCCCTCCGGGACCGTCAAATCAGTAAGAGCTTGCTGCGCATTCTGGGCTTTTCTTTCGCGCTGACGTTTGTATCTTTGCAGGGTCCATTGAGCGCATGCTGAATTTGAACCACGAACCTGAACAATCCGCCGACAGCCAGGAACAGAGCTCCATTGCTATTCCTTCTACCCCGATTCTCAACGAGGATGGGGACCCAATATGGAAAGTCTTGGTCTTCGATGACCTCGGACGAGATGTCATAAGCAGTGTGTTACGGGTCAACGACTTGCGGACATGGGGGGTCACGATGCATATGTATGTTCCGCGCGCTGAGCTGCGATATTGAAGACCAAGCTCCAGCTCCTTCTATTCTTCAAACAAACAGCTGATCAAGTCAGGCATATAGCTTCGGCCAGGCACCCTATTCCAGACGTTCCTGTACTGTACCTTGTTGAACCAACATCTTCAAATTTGAAAGCTATTACCTCAGATCTCTCGCGCGGCCTCTACTCCCCAGCATACATTAATTTCCTCTCCTCGATACCCCGGCCTTTACTTGAAGATTTTGCGAAACAGACGGCAGAAGCTGGTACGTCAGAGAGCATAGCGCAATTCTATGACCAATATTTGAATTTCATCGTCGCGGAGCCGGACCTATTCAGCTTGGGGATGCAGAAAGAGAACACATACTGGGCGTTAAATAGCGCGCGGACGAACGATGAAGAATTGGACCATGTGGTAGACCGCATCGTCAGCGGGCTATTTAGTGTTATGGTTACTATGGGTATGGATCCTCTGCAGCTTCAAATGAGCTTCGCTAACTCTTCCAGGTGTCATGCCCATTATACGATGTCCGAAGGGGGCGGCAGCGGAGATGATAGCTGCAAAGTTGGATCGAAAACTTCGAGACCACATCCTTAATTCCAAAGACAACCTCTTTTCCGCTCCGAGCAATCGACCATCAACAGCGAGTGGAACACCCTCGTCCCGACCAGTACTCATCATTCTGGACCGGAATGTAGATCTGATACCCATGCTTTCACATTCGTGGACCTATCAATCGCTGGTTCATGACGTTCTAAAGATGAAGCTTAACCGTATCACAGTAGAAACACCTATCGACGAGGAAAACCCCGCCAAGGGTACGACTAAGAAGTCCTACGACCTGAGTGCAAGCGACTTCTTCTGGACCAAGAATGCTGGAGTCCCGTTTCCTCAAGTAGCGGAGGACATCGACGCTGAATTAATGCGATATAAGGACGATGCCAATGAGCTCACCAAAAAGACGGGGGCTTCTTCGATAGAAGATCTCCAAAATGACACAAGTGCATCTGCGCAGCATTTGAAAGCGGCAATTACTTTGTTGCCCGAATTGCGGGAAAGGAAGGCTATCCTTGATATGCATATGAATATCTTGGCGGGTTTATTAACCGGCATCAAAAACCGACAACTCGACAATTTCTTCCAATTAGAGGAGAATATCATGAAGCAGACCAAGGCACAAATGCTCGAGATTCTGACCGATGAGGCGAAGGGTAAGGAGCCGATGGATAAACTCCGATTGTTCATAATCTGGTTCTTGAGCACCGAGCAGGATGTTTCAAGGACCGATATGGAGAAGTTCGAAGAGGCGTTGAAGGCTGCAGGTGCGGACACCACGTCTCTCGCATATGTCAAGCAGTAAGCACTCTCATCTTTTACAGTCCTTTCCACTTTCAGGTTCAAGCTAACGCTCTCCCAGAGTCCGGGCTACAACACGGATGACAATGATGACTTCGGCGCCATCCTCAACTCCCTCGCAAGCTTCCACCTCCACCGAGCTCTTCCGCGGCTTCAGCAGCATCTCCTCACGACTCACCTCCTCCCTCAAAGAATCCGGCGTCGGCGCCAATTTTGAAAACCTCATCTCGGGCGTCAAAAACTTCCTACCCGCCAACCGTGATCTCACCGTCACCAAAATCACCGAATCGATCATGGACCCCGCAGGCGCTTCCAGCAGCGCCATCGCCAAGACGGAAAACTACCTGTATTTTGATCCGCGGAGCGCGAACGCCAGAGGCACGATGCCTCCGCCGAGCGCGGCGCGGAAACGCGAGCAGATGCCCGGCGGGCTGGGAGGTGGCCTGGGCGCTCATGGACCAGGAACGGGAGCCACGTTTGGCCAGAGGAGGCAAGGGTTTAGTGAGGCGATTGTCTTCACAGTTGGCGGTGGTAGCATGGATGAGTATGGCAATTTGCAGGAGTGGGCTAAGAGGACGGGCGCGGGTGGGAGCGGGTCAGAAAAGGGCGCGGCCAAGAGGAGAGTAGTGTACGGAAGCACTGAACTGATTAACGCCGAGGAATTCCTCAAGTTGGAGTTAGACAAGCTGGGAGCTGAAGCGGCTTCGTAGCCTGGTTTTAAGAAAAAGAAGAAAAAAAGGTTTTAATCATGTCAAAAGGGTATATTCCATCTTTCCGGACCTAGATACGTACATCGTAGCCTGAAGAAAAAGCGCATTGATGGATCCAATTCGTCTCATTCCACTTCTCGTTTCGCCATCATTAGATAACAAAGGAAATTACATAAACATGAACAGGAGAAAAAAAAAAAACCATCACAGGCAAAAATGCAGCGCTCGATATGATCAACACAATGATGAATCGCTGGTATGATGAGCACGCTAATATCTCCTCCCTAAACTCCTCGGAACATGCGAACAATCAGGAACCACGTTGCACCAAGGAACTTGAAAAATGAGAGGCCTGCAACAGACCACAACACCACAGCCATGTAGATGGTGCTCTTATTATCATTCGTGCTTGCAGAAAGACGTTCCAACCCTGCCGTACTTAAGACGACTGCTGCGAGGCCGAAGTTGCAAACAAGCCAGAAGAGCACGACGCGGGACCGGAAGCCCTTGTAGTAATCTTCTTGCTTTTCGCTGGCAGAAAACTCCCGCTTCTCGGGTGGAGCTTTCGTAACGATTTTGCGCATTTCGGCTTCATATTGGGCGTTCAAGTCTCCGTCATCCGTAGGAATATTGACATCGACCTTGCCACCAGGCTTCAGCGTCGCGGAAGGCAACTTTTCAGCTTTATCGTCGCCCTTAGTTCCCCATGTGATATCGTGGGTGTTGCAAAAGGCGTAGACATTGAGAATGTTAATGTAGGTCGGGGTGAGTAGTAGGTATTGCAAGAAGGACGTGAACATGTGCCAGGGATCGAAGAACAAGAATGACATCACGAACCAAAGCACGTAAGTCGAGGCCAGAGAGATGATCAAGGTGTAGAAGATCTTGTTCTTGATAATGTCCTGCCAGTGGAATTCCTTGAGGGCGACTTCGGCTTGGATTGATTTGACCGTGATGAAAATCGACGCAAACATCAAGTAGCTATAAAAGCAGTTAGTCAACGGCTTTGGAAATTAGGAGTGCAGAACCTACACCATGATGACGATCCAGAAATATACCATGGACATGTAGGCCCTATTCGATCCTTGCGGTCGATTACCCAGCGCCAAGACGAAACATGTAAGAAGTGTGAAGAGATAAAGCCATTCGAAGACAACTCCAAGAATCTTTCCAGTCAAGCCGAGCAAGGTAGGGTCTCCAAGGGACGTAGTCAGGATATGGAAAACCAGGAAGAAATTGCCAATTGCGAACCACGCAAAGATCATATTGATGGCCTGGTAGGTGAATTCAATGAAGAACATCAACTTCCGCAGGAAGCTATGATCGCTCCGGAATATCTGATAGAAGTGTGCCAGAGCATAGATAGCAGCAAAGAAACTACCATTCAACCATCTACGTCGTTGCAAGATCAGCTCGGACATTGTATCTGGCACATCAGTCTCTCCTGTAGCAGATTTGACATATTGTAGAATCCAATGGCAGTTTCGTTTCGAGACAAGCTCAAAACAGAGAATACGATCTTCAGCAAGATACATATTCGCCGTAAAAATACCAGCATTAGAGCCGTGCATCTTCTCCCCTGCAAAATATTTCTCGAGAGGCCCATTCCCAGTTTTATCGTTTTGCAAGGCAACATAGCGATACGCCGAAAAGGCACCGGGTAAGACTGTGATGAAGCCAAAAGCCGATTCAAGTGGTTTGTCCAGAATGTTGCTCATCTTGTACTCGAAATTCTGGGTTGCAACGAGCGGGTTGACCAAGTTCTTTCCTCCAGGTCCTAACATGGCTTTGATCTCCCCACAAGCTCCAGCACACATTGGCTCCAGATCAAAGGCCTTCCAAAGATGATAGATCGAATCTTTGCCTGGTTTTGTACCTGCATCAATAAGGACGCAGATATTTGGGTCCAGAACACGTCCAAAGGCCTGGAAGAACCATCGATGGGAATTGATCTTCTTCTGATTCTTTTCCTTGAGACAGAAGAGCATCTGAACAGGTTGCTGCTTTGGGCGGAGTTCGACAAGATCCTTCTTGACCGAAATCCCCACTTGTGTGGTGTACTCATAGATATGAGCCGTCACATCTTTGCCATTGACTTGCTGTTTTGCAATTCCGTCTTGGTACACACCCATACCTGCTAGAACAGCCCTTGTTCTTGGGTTGATCTTGGCACGTCCATCACTCACTACGCATACAACGATTTTCTTCCATGCGTCCTTTCCCCACGTCTTGCTGTCCTTGCGCGAGCACATATATTCGATATTCTTAAAGACACCGCTCATGGTTCGCGCAAAGAGGATATCATCCTCATTGTACATAGTCACCACAATGAACAACTCTGTATGTCGAGGCTTTGCAAATAGCTTTTGTCGGAGAGTAAATCGTTCTTCAAAAAACTCGCTAGGATCACACGTGGCCGCTGAATATCTCATATGCGTGAACTCATCTCGCTCCGGTGGTTGTGCATGCGGTACCATATTCAAGAGCTTAGGAGGAATCGGACAGTCGAGGACAAGGTTGCCATTGAAGAGCTGCACCTCCTTGACAGTCTTGTACCTCTTCAAGGCAGGGACGGGGGTATGAGACTGCACGGGGGATATTCCAGGCCCATCGTAGTCTTGGTACTCGGGTCCACTATGTGGATCTGGGCCGTACGGTTCCTGCGGTTGGAGAATAGGGCGGTGGTCATCATCAGGCTCATAGTAGCCGGGCTCGTTATTGGGTGGGAAATCCGTAAGGGGGTGCTCTTCATGAACTGAAGGTTGGTAGGGAGGTTGATAGTATGCGTCGTGGTGAGCTTGGGGGTTTAGGGCGTAGTCCTGGTTGTAGTCCTGGTTGTAGTCTTGGTTGTAGCCATGGGGATGTTCCACGGGGTAATTTCGCTCATACTCTTCATTATGACCATATGAATTGTTGATATTCTCGACGGAGTACTGCCGCATTGAGGTTAGCAAGGTAGTTCCACCGAGTCTTCTGTGCGACTTCAGATTGAAAAGACTCACCGAGGGTTGTGGTTGTAAACGGTCACTCGGCGTATGGCGCCCAGGTCCCATAGGTATTTCGAGATTGTGTAGGCCGGGTCCAGGAGATCCAGCGGGCGGCCGGCCGTATGCTCCTGTGTCTTCGAGTTGGTAGCCTTGCTGCAGAGGGTGGTGAACCGGCGAAGGTGTCCGACGCAGGTGATTGTCCATGTTGTAATAATCGTCTTGAGGGCCTTGGCCAGGGTGATCTATGGAGCAGAAAGATGTCAGGAGCTTGTCGTCAAGAGCGGACGAGTCGCATCGCAAACTTGCAGCAAAAGCGACAAAGCTCCTGTACTATGCAGGAAGGCTGTGCTTGATATCCTCTTGCATATGGCGCGCATGAAAGTCGCGGTGAAGAAGGAGGAATGATTAAGTGAAGAATTGCAGCTATACAGTGAGGGAGAGTTGGCTGTCAAGACAAGGGCTGCGCAAGAGCGACGACATTCATCAAACGCAAAAAGAGTAGATAAATAGCAACCGATAAGCAACGGTTGCGCGCAGACAACAGAGGACGATCAGTAGACGACTGCGGAACGGGGAGGCATACCTAAACGATTATACGCCATTGTGAGAGCACCTCGTCCCAGTCGGTCAGCGAGAAGCTCTGTACTGGGAGAGGAGAAGGCAGCTTTGATCTTTGATGGTGATGGAGCTGGTGGTGTTTCACCCAGCTACGGAGGGAGGATAGGACCCCGTATGAAGGGCACGGGGGGGGCTTGTTTACTTTATTTACGCTACTCCGTAAATATACCGTATACGGAGTAACCTCGAAATCAGGAGGTGGGGGATCTCGCTTATTACATATTTAGGCGGGCCGCTCCTGTATTTACTCGTAATACTTACTGTAACAGGCATCGGGAGGTTGGTAAACCTCAGGTACGATTTACCAGGCGAGTCAGGGGCAGGGGGCGTAGCGCTGCATCATTTCATGGAGGGGTCCAACAAAGTGAGATTGATATTCGGATTGGCGTTTTGATTGCCTATAGTACTTGTCCTTTCAAGCGTTTAAGGGACTTATCACGAATAATGGGGGCAAATCCCTTTTACCTACCTACACCGTACCTACCTACTCACTCACGCAAACGTAAACCTGCTCGATGGTAAGGTATTTTTCGACGGGGCGCTTGAGCCTTGAGCCCAGTATCGAGCTCAGCCACACCAGCCTCGCCACGAAACCGGAGTCGTCCGCGCACAACCGTGAGGCTGAGCTGCCAAAGCCAAGAGCAGTACGAGGACTCTGTGGCAATATCAAAAAATATCAGGGACATCGAAATCCGATTCTACGCATTTCTTTTCTTCCATTCTGCCTCGTGCTTACGGCGGCGTTATCGTACTATCGTAGATGCTGTGCTGCACATCATCCTTTGTGAGCCCCTGAGCCTGCTCTCCCCCATCCCTCATCCCCCGCATTCCAAGGAGGAGGGGCTGCCTCATGCCTTGATCCGGCGGCATCCACTGCTCTCCTTCGCACATGTGCTCCTGTCTCATGTCATGACTTGACATCCGGAAAGGTCTGCTTCAGGAAATTCTTGGAGAATCTCACACACTGCTCATACGCGATTTCAAAGCCATCTCTTCCCCCGTAATAAGGATCATCAACCTCCTCAGCCTTCTTCTTTCCAGAGAACTCTCCGAACAACATGACCTTTGCCTTGCCACCTGCACGTTGATGAATCCGTTGAAGATCTCGCACTGGAATGTCGTAATGTTAGTACTCCTTCCTGTACGGTGCAGGGTTTGGTAGCATGGGCAGTCTGAGATGAGAGCAGGGTAGGGTAAAGCAGAACAAGAAGCCATTCTCCATACGGTTGTCTCTGTCCATAGCAAAGATATAGTCGAACTTCTGGAAGTCCGAGACGTGGATCTAGAACTACATCAATGGATTGCTCGGGAGGCCTGATTCAGAGAGCTTACCTTTCGCGCTGCGTGCACATAGTCAACAATCCCATTGTCTTCGAGGACCGACATCGTTCGTGAATCTGGGCTGCTGTCTATGTGATATGCCCCAGTCCCACAACTATCTACCTCTTTGATGAGGCCTTGATAGGGTGGTTTAGACACGATTGATTGGAAAACGCCGTGGGCCATAGTGGACCGGCAGATATTTCCTGTGAAGAACGTCAACGCCGCTGCCCACGGGACACAAATAGATGATCTCAGAGATATTTTTTCTACCTAGGCAGACGAACAGCACCGAAATAGGGTCTGAAGCCATGTTGCAAAGAGCGGTTTGACAGAGTTGGTGATGCGGTCCCATCGGAGACGAGAATTATTTCCTCTGATTATTTATCTACCCCACGGCAGACGACGGTGTCCCCCCCCCCCCCCCCCAAAAAAAAAGAAATTAAAAGTGCCTTCGACAAACACATTTTTGCTTGTTCCATATAATATACCTACATGACAAACCCAGTCCCTAAACACCTTATTCTCGTCTGTTGCCATGCAATATATCTCGGCGGACCGTCCAACGGTCTCCATGAAGAAGAATGGCTAATCGCTTCCTTCCAATCAGGCGAAACGGCCACGTTCACCCAGCATGCTCAAGCCGGACTCAACCTCCTCTCCAACGACCCCTCAGGACTCCTCATATTTTCAGGGTCCAAAACACGAAAAGAGGTGCAAAAGTCCGAAGCTCAATCGTATCTTGATTTATGTCTACATAACGATTTCTGGGGCCTCTTGGACAACTGTACACAGAAAGAGGAAATTGTCAGGGAGAGGATAGCGCTGGAAGAACAGGCGTTGGATTCTTTTGGGAATCTGATATTCTCCACGATGCTGTTCTGGAAAAGGACTGGACAGTGGCCGGCGAAAATCACAATCGTGAGTCACGAGTTCAAAAGGGAGAGGTTTTTGGACTTGCATGTTGGAGCGATGCGGTGGCCGAGGGGTAAGGTTGAGTACTTGGGAATCGATCCAGTGTATATGACGGAAGGTTCTAGGGAATGGGATGGCGAGAGGACGCAGGCGGTAAGGAAAGGTGAGAAGGAGAGAGGCCTAGGGGTTTGGGAAAGGGATCGATTCGGCACAGGCCAGTTTTTGAGGGGAAAGAGAAGGGAGAGGAATCACTGGCAGGTTGGTCAAATGCTGTTTGGCAGCGAGGAAGAGAGACTAAGAAGCCAAGTTCGAAGCGAGATCATAGAGTATGAGGATGGCTTGAGGGAGGAGGTGCTGAAGGATGAGAGGCAGCCTTGGGAAATGGATCTATAGGGTTCAAGAAATTCTCCAGATTAGTGGAAGCCGTCTGTTGCTTTTTCGGATTCCTGAATTCAAGCAAGGAGACTTTAATTTCGTGCCGCTTATACTTATTACTCACTGGGCCTCTTCTTAAGCGGGCGTTTGGCTTCGAAGTGAGGTTCCAACAAGTGTCCAATTCATCAGTACTGCTCTGTTAGTGAAACCCACCCTTTAAGCATGAGCCGAAGATCTCTGTGTATACCAGGCACAATTACTACCATGTGAGGTAATGGTATCAGCCACGTCATTCTCAAGAGGCTGAGCTAACGCGCAATCACAGCATCCTACCATGCCCAGCCTCGAAGCACAATTGAGAGAACTTTTGAAATCATGGGAAAAGTGTAGATGGCGGCAAGGAGACGAGAGAGAATTTGGAGAGCCATACAAATCGGGTTTATTTAACTACATTTTGGACGCCCCTTTCCCACCAATGCTCGATGAGCCTGCCAAGATGTCACTGACGAATCTGGTAGTGTCTCTAAGCATGTCTGGACTATAGGCATGTCCCACCCCCGGATAGACATTATCCTCAACATAGACATTTCCATCCTTGTACCATGTGCTCGTTGCTTCCTTGAGAAACTGCATGAACGGCTCCGCACAATGATACGGGACTAACTTATCATCTGCTCCTGAACAGACAAGTAGTCTCTTGCCTTTGATTTTCGTGTCGAATATCTCACGGAAACGTCTCTGCTCACTCTCAGGCGGGTTGGACTGGATCTCAGAAGTCCCGAACAGCATTCCCTTCGGATCGGATTTCTGAATGCTGGAGATGAGTGCTTTCGGGAAATCGTTGCTTCCAAAGAATCCTGCGCCGTTGGACGTCGTATATGTTTCGCGTTTAGAGAGCCGGGCACGGTCACTCATCAAACCTGCCCAAGGTTAGCAAAAGCCTAACCGGGACAGATATACCTCCTCTCCTGATGGAGACATGAGGTTTGGGAACGTCCCGCTTTGAACCACCCGTAGTATTTATACATGCCCACCCATGTACTCGCTAATAGGAAAAGAAAACATACGCATATAGTCAGGACATCCAATGATGACAATAGCTGCAGTAACTCGAGGATCGTTGAAGAACGCTTGCCAGGCCGCATGACCACCAAGGGAGATCCCGAGGATCAAATGCTGGTCAATATGTGGTGCATTGGGGCCAGAGAGAACGTAAGATCCCAAATGGTCTATAAGAAAGCTGGTATCAAGGGCGGTGCCATGATAAACACTAAGCTTAATCAGAGCAGGACGATATACAAAGAAAGGTAGGGTACCTGAACATATCCTGAGCATGAGTCTCGTTGCCCCCTTTCCAGGCCTCGTTTGCCAGGGCATTGATGAGTCGACTGCCGTGATTTCGCTGATCAAAGGCTATTGCCAGGAGGCCGACCTCGTTACCGCTTGGCCGCCGCAGCTTCCAATCATTGATGCATGCAGAAGCAACGCCGGCCATTACTTCTTTGGACTGAAGTCTTCCATGCAGAAGCCAGAGACAAGACACTGATTTACATGTCTGCGGTAGCTCATCCAAACCATAAACATCCGTGAGAATGCCGGCAATGTGGAAGGTCTTGACGGAGACCGGAGGGGGAGGGGTTGACTGAGTCTCTTTGAGGGGATTGGGAGTCGACATTTTGAGGGCGGTCCCGAGGTGGGGGTCTGGTGGGAGGACAAGGAGGACAGACACCTACCTAAGGTAAGGTATCTTACGAAGGACCCCAGGTACTGTAGGAAAAGAAAAAAGAAGAATATAATGGAGAAGGAAAAGCATACAATACTACAGCAATATGGAATAAGGTTGACGGGAACGTGGGGGACGTGGGGAGGTGGTCTATCTATCTTCACTCGAGTGGGCCTAGTAATACCCGGGCCGGTACGGAACAAAGGGCGGACCGACCGACCGACCGACCGACCTATGTAGGAGGAATCTTTACTTTACCGTACTGCAGGTGGATTTCAATAATATGCAACGGTTAGGACACAGCTACCTTATGTATTCTGTGCTGTTGCATTGCAGATACCTCGAGGTACTTCCACGCACACAATAAACTTGCCTTGACCCGAGGTATCCACTGGTACTGCCCATATGCGACACGTCTACGTTGTACGGTGTACCATACCGCTGTACCTTTTCCCCACGTCATTTGATCGGCTGCGGTGGTGCGGTACGGTACCTGGGAAGGTATTTGCGGTGTACCGCAGGGAAATTGCCTACCTGGAGCCCAGTTGTCCATAACACAACACAGCGGTCATCCCAATTATTTACACACTACCTCTTGAACACTGGCACTTCTCTGCACACGCTTGAGCTTCCTCACTACCTGCTTCCATACATACCTGCCGGCCTCCCTAGTTCATGAGTTCTGCGTTGCCTCGTCCACCGAATAAGTGTCGGCCAGCCGCTGTACCTAGCCATTCGACTCGAGATATCTGATCTGCAACCCTGTGCAGACGTTAGGCTGGTATGCTAGGAATCGCATTGTCAGCCATGAACACCATCTGCGGCCTGTAGACAGCAACACAAGAAGTATCCCTGAAGGGACGGTCTTCTTATTGCGTTGCGCAACACCTGAATAACGGTATCGAGGAGCTAGGGACCCAGCATGGCCCAACGCAATGAGGAATCGATTGTACCAGTGACACAAAGTCCAGCTTCAGAACCCCCTCTACATACAAATGCGAATGGATCCGCAGCAGTTCAACTCTCAGACTTGCGGGCTGAGCTGAGTGCTGACGGGTCCCAAGACGGCGCCACAACATCGAACTGGCACACGAACAGAGCCCCGGCCGAGGCTTCAGATTACATCAACGGTGGTACTGCACACCATAGTCATAGCCCAGCATCATCGATTAGGCCACCTACTGCTACAGCCAACTCTCCCCACAGGTCATCAGCCTTGAAGCAAGGACCAGCCCCGTCAAGTGCTTTCCCACACGATGCCCCGGCTACGGGTGCAGGCACATCTACCCCACCAGGTAGACGGAGTGTGCAGTTTGCAAGGCAAGATCCGGGAGCTTCCTATGCGGGACATTCCAGGCAAGGTTCATGGGGGGTCGAAGATTGGGAGACCCCAGGCAAGGACCGCCGAGGACAATCTTTGATGTCAAAACTGAAGGCACTGGCTGCCACAGGTACTCATAGTAGGAATCAAAGCAACACTGCGAACTCCATTGACGAAGGTACGGCATCTGCACCTTTTTCGCCTGCCACAGATCGATCAGCCAGATTCCCGCAGACATTACAAGAAGAAGGCAGCGACGTGGATGCGGATGCTGAGGAGACAGCTGATGAAGGAGGTGCACCTGATACTGATCGAATCAGACGAAAGCGTCGGATGCGAAGACCCCCAGAGACTGCAGGGGCGAGCCAGACCGCACCGAATACACCCAGAGCACGGAACACGGCGCAAGCAGATTATGCGGGGAGGAGTGGCCGTCCAACTTTTTTCTTGAGTCGGCGAGCGACAGATGGATCGCTGGAGCAGCGAGGTCATGTTTCGGAGGGTGAAGGCCGTGATAGACTGGATGCTCAGCGACCCTGGAGACGTGGAAGCTCATGGATGACTGGTGCTCGAGGACAGAGCTACGGGGGAAATAATTCTGTTGACGTTGACAGTCCACCGACTTCGAGAAGACCAAGCACTTTCAGGCGTGCACTCACCGGGCTAGGAGGAGGTCAGAGTGACGGTGATGGACCAGCTCCAAGAAGACCCTTCCTAGCAGCGGAGCGTGCGTCGACATTTGGAGCTCAGAGATGGCGGATGCTGAAGCACGGTCTCAAGTTATTGGGTCAGAAGAAGGAGGAACACAGGGTTGATTATCTCAAGTCGGCAGAGTTGATGGCTGAACTCCGTGCTGGGGCTCCCGCGGCACTTATGCTTGCTAGCATGATTCAACGAGATGAGCACGGAAATAAACGTATTCCTGTTCTCCTCGAACAGCTGAAGTTACGGGTGACAGACAGTAAGCCTAGTCTCGACGAGCCTTCAGAAACGGAAAGACATCTTGTCTTCAGTATCGAGCTTGAATATGGAAATGGCTTGAATCGCATGAAATGGGTTGTTCATCGCTCTCTTCGAGATTTTGCTAATCTGCACCTACGCTACAAATTTCAAGGTAGCAGCGATAAGTATATTCAACTCCGGAGCGATGTTGATTCGAGGCCGAAGCAACCTCGATTTCCCAAATCAGCATTTCCATATTTTAGGGGCGTTCGCGGACTTGGCGAAAGTGAAGAAGACGAAGCAGAGACAATCCGTGCCTCCGAGACTGCTGGAGAGGCAACGCATAGCGAAACGGAGCGAAAACGGAAGAAGAAACGCCCTTCACTGGGCGGAGGCCGAAGAAGGTCCAGCGCCGTAGAAACAGATCCAAATACTGGAGCTGTTATTGGGGGGAGCCAGGCCGCCCACCAGAAGAGGATCTTCAATGAGAGACAACGTAGGAGGCTTGAGCAATACCTCCAAGAAATGATTCGATGGCTCATCTTTCGAGCTGATAGCAACCGCCTTTGTCGGTTCTTGGAGCTCTCTGCTCTTGGAGTGCGATTGGCAGCCGAGGGGAGTTACCATGGGAAGGAAGGATTCCTTGTCATTCAATCGGCGAAGGGTCTAGACGTCAGGAGAATGCTCGCACCCAAGAACGTTTTCTCTCGACACTCTCCGAAATGGTTTCTGGTCAGACACAGCTACATTGTCTGCGTCGAATCCCCAGAGAATATGCACATCTATGATGTCTACCTTGTGGATCCAAAATTCGAGATCAGGAAAAAGCGACGCAAGCTCAAAGAGCTAGGTGGAAAAGAGATTGGAAAAGAGATTGTTGCACAAGCCGAGACTTCTGCAAAACATCCTAAACATCATACCTTGAAATTGCAGAACTCAGAGGGGAAGATCAAGCTCTTAGCTAAGAATGAGCGCCAACTAAGACAATTCGAGGAGTCTTTGACGTTCATGTTGAATAATACTCCATGGTCAAAACCAAATCGATTTGGAAGTTTTGCACCCGTGCGCACCGATGTCTACGCCCAGTGGCTTGTAGATGGCCGGGATTATATGTGGAATGTTTCTCGAGCCATAAACATGGCCAAAGATGTCATTTATATTCATGATTGGTGGCTCAGCCCTCAATTGTACATGCGAAGGCCTGCTGCGATCAGTCAGAAATGGCGTCTTGATAGGCTACTTCAGAGGAAGGCCAGAGAGGGTGTCAAGATCTTCATCATTATCTACAGAAATGTTGAAGCTGCCATTCCTATCGATTCTGAGTTTACCAAATTTTCGATGCTCGACCTCCACCCCAACATATTCGTACAAAGGTCGCCAAACCAGTTCAAGAAGAACCAGTTCTTCTTCGCCCATCACGAGAAAATCTGCATCGTTGACCACACCGTGGCCTTTGTCGGCGGTATCGACCTCTGCTTCGGTCGATGGGATACACCACAACACTCTGTGGTGGACGACAAGCCAACTGGCTTTGAACAGTCAGACCTTCCCAAAGATGCGGATCACTGCCAGCTATGGCCTGGTAAAGATTATTCAAATCCTCGAGTCCAAGACTTCTACAAGCTCTCGGAACCTTACGCGGAGATGTATGACCGCTCCAAGACTCCTAGAATGCCTTGGCATGATGTCTCCATGCAAGTTGTTGGCCAGCCTGCCCGCGATTTAACCCGCCACTTTGTGCAAAGATGGAATTATGTGCTTCGAGGTCGTAAACCTACAAGACCAACCCCATTTCTGCTTCCCCCACCGGACTATGATCCCGCTGACCTTGAGGCCCTGGGGCTCACTGGTACCTGCGAGGTCCAGATACTACGTTCGGCTACGGACTGGTCCCTAGGAGTCACAGAGACGGAGCACAGTATCATGAATGCATATTGCAAAATGATTGAGGAGTCGGAACACTTTGTTTACATGGAGAACCAGTTTTTTATCACGAGTTGTGAGACGATGAACGTCAAAATCGTCAACAAGATTGGCGATGCCATTGTCGAGCGTGCAATTCGAGCTTATCAGAACAATGAGAGTTGGCGATGCGTCATACTCATTCCTCTTATGCCGGGGTTTCAAAACACCGTGGACGAACCCGATGGCACGAGTGTACGATTAATTATGCAATGCCAGTTCCGTAGTATTTGCCGTGGTGAAGGGTCAATCTTCGGCCGTTTGCGGAGTTACGGCATCGAACCCGAAGACTTCGTCCAATTCTATAGCCTCCGAGCATGGGGCAGGATCGGCCCAAAGAAGATGCTGGTGACTGAACAGCTATATATCCATGCGAAGATCATCATTGTCGATGACCGTATTGCATTGATTGGTTCAGCAAACATCAACGAAAGATCTATGCTAGGTTCGCGAGACTCCGAGTGTGCGGCTGTGGTTCGAGACACCGATATGCTTTGGTCAGTAATGGATGGAGAACCATATCTCGTTGGCCGTTTTGCCCACACTCTGCGCATGCGTCTGATGAGGGAGCACCTCGGCGTTGATGTGGACGAGATCATGGAGGAGGAGCGCCGCGCGGAGTTGGATAAAGAAGAGGAAGACTATGAGACAAAGATGAATGGGATCTATGGTGACGCTGGCGATACTGACTCGGTGCAAGACCGGGTTGGCGAGATGGAACCTGGGCTTCTTGACCAAGCTGCACGCATTGCAAAGCAGGAATTGCGGAGCTTCAATCACGACGTCGACTGGGAAGAACAAGATAATCCCAACATAGAACCTGATAAGTTCAAACCTCTTACAACCGATAGCAGAGTCACTGGCAACGCACGACATGCTGCCGACGTTGACGGGGAGGGTGGAGACCACTGGAAGACTGCCGAGCAAGCTGGGCTTGTTCGTGGCAGAGACTCGATTCTAGTTGACGGGGCTCGCGAGGTGTTGCTCGCGGATATTGCAGCGGAAGGCAGAGGTACCGTAGACCACCCAAAAAAGCCACAATCCGGAGCTTCGCCTGCTGCTCTTCAGCGCGGCGGCAGCAATGACAGCAGATCCGGCAGCGATAGTCTTCCACCACTGCCGCCATTGCTGCCACGACGGACTACAGAGCAATTAGGGCTATCTCAACTCTCTCAGCTCCCTCCTCTCCCTGCTCTGGACGATACAGATATCGGTGGGCCTCCGCTACATTTCGATGTATCTGGAAATCCCACGTCAAAGCCCTACAATCCGGTGACAGCTGATATCAAAACAGCCCACGTGGATAAAGACTGTATGCGGGACCCACTGGACGATTCTTTCTTCGAGGATACGTGGCGACTTATTGCAGAGAACAATACCAAAATTTTCAGACGGGTATTCAGATGTCATCCTGACAGCGAGGTCACGAATTGGCATGAATACAGGGAATTTGTGGCTTATGCTGAGAGATTTGCCCAGGCGCAAAGTGGTGTCAAAAGCACCGAACGAGAAGAGCAAGAAGCCCCGGGTAAAAGTGGACCACCTGGAGCAGCAACGACAGTTCCAGGCTTGGGAGGTATAAGTCAAGGTTTGACCACCATATCCGAGAAGGCCAATTCACATGGAAATAATGGGACTGTGGCAGAATGGGCTGAGAATGCCAATGCGGAACATAATGAGCGCCTCGGCACTTCCAATGCCAATGAAGCGACCACGCACGGCCAGATTGATGGACTTGATGAGAAAGCTACTATGAAGCGGGTATCAGGTGAAGCGCCATCTTTACCAAAAACACCAGTAATGGCTGCGAGGAATGAAAACTTCCCGCCCCTCGATTCTACGTTGATCAATTCATCGACCGCAGAACCCGAGAAGGCTTCACAATCGGCCTCACGGAAAGCTACATTCACTTCGACGACGCCTCCAGAGAATAAGGCAAGCAATGCTGCCCCTCCCAACACTTTGAACCAAGGCTCTGTCAAAAAGCGTCGTCGTGGGACTACGAAGGGTAGCCGTCGGGGCTTCTCTGCAAGCGACGATCTCCTCAGCCCGGCCGACACCGAAGAACTCTTGAGTATGGTTCAAGGACATCTGGTCGCCTTTCCGTATGACTGGCTCATCAAAGAAGAACTCAACTCAAATTGGCTGTACCAGGTAGATCAAGTGGCGCCTCTTCAAATCTAGTAGGTCATAACGCCCCTTCAATGCAGGCATTACTGACCCCTCAACAGTGACTAAAATATTAACGGCCGATTCGAGCTTTGTATATTATACTGTATCGTGATAGCAAGAGGAAGAGCATGTATGTGCATTGGGTTGGCGTCGTTCTAGTCCCTTTTAGCATAACAGCGAACGAAGCATTGTCTTTTTTTCTTCATTAATGTATCAACTTCAAGACATCAATACATAATAAATTCTATACCCTCTCACTAATCCAAATTGCACCTCTGCAGCCAGCTTTGATAATACCCGTCAGGAGCTCGTATGGCTGCGCTTGTTTCGCTTCATTCTCGACCGCATGATCTAAATGCTCCAACTCCTCATCTCTTATCCTTCTTATCGTGCTCATCAGCTCCTTTAGTTCGTTTCCTACTTCCTCGCCCGACTCTTCCATCTGTTCCACCATATCTACTAACACCCTCAATTGTTCATTGTAATGTCCACCAATTTCGGTCTCCACAGCTTCGGTACATGCCATTGCAGCCTCTCTCCCCATGATGGCTGTTCCCCAGCCCAACGCTGAGGCCGCAATTGTCCAGATCGGATACATGGCTGTAGGCCGCACGCGATGCTTTGCTAGGAGGGTATTGAAGGTCTCGAGATGGCCAGCTTCCTGGTCATACATGTGCTTCATGAGAGGACGAAGGTGCGGATGAGAGGCCACAATGGGAGGCGTTTGGGCGATGTAAATCAGAGTAGCGGCCAATTCGCCGGCCTGGTTGACTCGGAACTAGAGAGCCGTTAGAACCAGCCTCCGTATGCATGGAGGGTGTACGAACTGCCTGGCTGAGAAATTCACGCTGGGCTTGAGTTAGAGGTTTCTTCAGAGAGGGTGCATTGGAGCTTGCGGATTGGCCTGGATTAGGTGTGTTTGAGGATTGATCTGGAATTGCAGCGAGTTTTCGGGTTGTTGATATATATCGTACTCGTGACGCTCTAGGAATCTGAATAAAACTTGGGGCTAAGAAGTCGTAGACCGGGAGATGTGCTGCATGAAGCACAGAACGTCTATAGGTTGCAAGCGATGTCATTTTGTGTCGACTCAGGAGTCTGCGAGTCGTTCTTCATCCAAGTATATTGAGGTAATTGGGAAACTGGTTCGAGAGGAGTGGGAGGAATGGGCAAGAAAGAGTAAAGAAATCAATCAATCAAGAAATAAATAAATATGAAGAATATCATTAAGTGTCTTACTTGATGCGACCTTCGGATGTATTATGTGACGATTTAGGGAAGTTGGATTTAAAGTTCCGGCGAAAAGACGGGCCGAGTTACGCTAAGGATAGAGCTAAACGCTTTTCATTCATCGACACCAGCCTTTCTATACCGATTGAGTACAATACGGAGTACAATAGTTGTTGCACTCTCACCTTCGCCCAAAATCTCTCGCGAGTCGCCACATTGCTAAACCTGCGACTACGAAACCAACAATCTCTCTTTCGGCTTCTCACTGTTGGATATTGGGCATACTCAGAACAACTATAGGACTCCGTCCTAGCACGCGCCCGTCAGATTCACTTCCACGTTCAGCCACCTACGAGCAGCCGCACTCAGCCGCCTTGCATCTTCTCAACACATCCCGCGTAACGTGTCGATCTCTTTGAATCAAACAAAAACAGCACACACAAACTTCCCTAGCAATGGCGGACATCGATGATGAACTCCTTGCTCTTGCAGGAGATGCTTCCTCTGACGAGGATGATGCGCCCATGAACACCAGCAGAAAAGATTCGGCATCACCAGACCATAAGGCTGGGGGTAAAGCCAGCGGGAAAAAGTCTGGTGGTAGCAAAAGCAGAAGACACGATGATTCCGAGGAAGAGGGTGAAGCGTAAGTTCTGAGCGCCTTGCCCTTCAAGCTCTTCTATCGTTCGTAATCTGTATTCAATGCTGATTACCTACCAGCTCATCCAGACATTCATCTCCCGACTCCCTACGATCCGCACCTATGGACGAGTCAGACTCTGAACTTGATGCGCCTGGCATGTACGATGATGGCGACAGGTATCCGCTAGAGGGCAAGTTCGTGGACGAGGCCGACAAGGCAGAAATCATGGCAATGCCTGAGATAAAGCGTGAGGAGCTTCTTGCCGAGCGTGCTCAGGAGGTCGAGCGGGACAGGCAAAACCGCGCTCTCCGACAACTTTTGAACGCTAGAGAGGCCGAGAGCAAGAAGCAGGACAAGAAGCGCAAAGCAGGGACTGCAGATTTAGATGAGAACCAGCGCAAGACATCTCGCCAGAGGACAAAGCTAGGCGGTGGCAAAGTCGGCGAATCCAGCACAGGAATCGACAGCCTCAAGCGTGCACGAGCTGAAAAGAATGATCGCCAGCGCCGCCGTGATGAAGACAAGGAGCGCAACAAGGATAGACGGTCACATCATGAAGAATACTCTGATGTAGATGCTGATGGGGAGAGCGAGGTAGAATGGGATGATGGAAGGTCGAAGAATAAGAAATCACAATCACCCGACTACCGTGATGCAGAGCCGGCAGGGCTTCATGATATTGAAAGGGTTAGAGTTGGTAGAAGCCGGTTCGCCATGGTCTGCTTCTATCCCGGCTTTGATGAGGCAATCACCGGCTGCTTTGTTCGGATCAGTGTTGGGATTGACAAGGAAACCAACCAAAACATCTATCGCATGGCCGTCATTAAAGGTATGTATGGAATGTTCCAGTATTTTATATTTATGCTAACGCTATGGAAGGCTTTGTTGAAGATAGACCATATGCCATTGAGACGGCCAATGGGAAGCACTTCAAGACCACACAATACATACGAGCGGCCCACGGCAAAGCAGAGAGGAACTGGCCATTCATTACTTGCTCTGATTCTCCCTTCACCGAGGTTTGTATACCTAGATCTTTACGCAGATGAACACGATGCTGACCCTACAGGCTGAGTGGAATCGGTACAGGCAGACTTGTCTTGCAGAAGGCGTTCCTTTGCCCACGAGACCAAAGCTGGCGGCAAAAATCACTGATATCAATAACCTTGTCAATCGCTCGTGGACTGAGGCTGAATTGCAAGAGAAGCTTACAAAGTCGGGCGCATTGGTCAACAAGTTTATTCCAATTGAGCGTAATCGCCTGAACAATCTCATCAAGGAGGCAAAAGCCCGCGGTGATGAAGCACAGGTGGAGGCTCTCCGGAAGGAGCTAGAAGCATTAGATGGGCCAAAATTGGCATATAGCACTTCGATGCAGTCACCAAAGAAGAGCGCAACTCCAACTGGAATGAGTCAGCAAGAACGGTTGGCCCTTCTTAACAGGCAGAATCGCCGCAAGAACGCCGAGGAGGTTCGTCAGGCTCAGATCAATGAGAGAAGGGCGGCTAAGCTTGCTGAGGCTGCGATTGCTCGCGGTGAAGTGGTCGTAGAAGATCACTCTCGACGCGTTAAGACTCGTGCCAAGTTTAAGCACGATGTCTCCGAGGGATTCGGTGCCAAGAAGGCCGATAGTGAGGGAAGCGGAACAAGCACTCCCGCTGCCGGTACTCCAAACCTATCGGCGAAGAAGCCCAGCACGCCACTTCCCCACATTGCCAAGTTACAAGCTTCTAATGGCGACAAAAAGGGGTTACCAACTATCCGCCGCCCTTTGATGGATGACGATATCATTGGTGCCATTGACCTTGGAATTGACATTGAGCTTTAAGGAGGGTGAGTCCTCTAAGCGTAGAGATTCTAGGATGGTTTTGGGGGGTTTCTTTGTGCGGCGTTGCGGTGAGATCAATGGATCGATGGGCTTGGATCAGGAGCATGTGCCTTATTAGAGAGAAGGAACCAAATTGCGGTCGTTAGCAATGCCGGAGGGCCCACTCAATGGATGAATGTTGTTACAGTATAATAGTTACATAGACCAAAATACAATGGCTGGCATGAAATCTTTGGTTGTGATTCATGGTGCGTCGAGGGCCCACTGTGATAGGATTGCTTCGACTCTCGAGTGAAGCATCTTGTTTGCAGGGGTAATCACGTGCCGGTTTGGCTGCTTCGCTTCGACCAGGTCAGCCAGGGTTGCAGCCAGATCAGACGAAACAAGACACCCACCACCACGCAGATGCTGGTCCGATGATTAACGTGACTGTACAGTGTACAGAGTACGGAGTACAGAATATGTCTCTCTGCAAGGCAAGTTGAGGATCCTCACACACTGCGTGATCAGGACATGATGATGTCTGTGCCATGCCGTGCTGCTTACTCCCGCCAGACGCTCTTCGACCAGCCTCTCTGCTTGCCTGCGCAGCACACTCGTGGATCCTACTGAAGACAGCGGGGATGAGGCATGGGACATGGGACATGGGACATGGGACAGGGAGCCACCTATGCTTCAGAACTGCACTGCGCCTTCTCGAACTCGTCATCGAATGCTGCCATGTCAACGAAAAGATCAGGCGAAAGATGCCAAAGCCCAGCCCAGGCCGGCCCTCAGACCGTCAGACCGTCAGACTTGTCACTCTGGCCTACCACGACACATGGATTTGGATCTGGATCTGCGCAGTCTGCTGTACCCTGTACAGAGTACGCTGCACGCTCTGCGCCAAAGAATCCCCGTCCGGCAGATTTCGAAACACGCTCTTCTCACTTGCCTCGCAGTGCTCCCACCTCCCCACCGCTGCTCTTGTCCAATCATAGGCCGCACACCACGTTTGGGCCTCAGAAACGACTCCCTGCTCCCTGTCTCCCCTTCCCGCACCGTATTCGACTATTCTTCCTGTCATACTGTTATCCTCCCTCCCGACCTTCTTTTTTACTTGCTTCAACCTGCTTCGCTTTCGCCTTCATCCACTACCTTGGCCTGAGCCTTGACGATTCGCAGTTCATGAGGCAGTAATCCTGGACTCGCTTGCAGTTCGGAGCTTCCCCTCCTCCCTCCCCCTTCACTCCTCCACCCCATGTGAACGCAGAGATGTGCTGGCACCTGAAAGGCGAGAGAGCTTAAGTTAGCAATTATGTATGAATCGTAAGACGGTACAGAGTATCTCGTCTCATACCTCAGCAGTGGGCGATTGAAGTGGTAGTTCCACCACCTCGTCACGATGACAGGCCTAACAGCCTCAAGTCCGTCCGATCAGGACCGTACAGACAAGGCTACATGCTGTGCCTCTAGCTCGGATATCGCATGGCTGCAGGTATCCAAGATAGCACTATTGGACCCAATCCACCCAAGTCCTATCTTCAAATATCCTTTACCTGGCTTCTCCCTCCCGAGCTGCATCCGTCCGCGTGTTGACGGTCAGACGCCAGCCATGGCCTTACGGAGTATGCTACCGGTGCCCGGACTCGCTCTATTCGCCTTGAGGTCAAACATTCTGTCCCAGTAGCAGGAGCTCGGACTGATCCTTGGAAAGGCTGACGAGACTGGGTCCCTCCGTGCTTCGCTGGCTGATCTCCTAATACTCCACTGATTGCTAAAAAAAAATCATTAACACCTGTTGTGTAGTATCAATGGTGGTTCAAAGCAACTCACTCGATTTCCTTGAGGAGATCTATGCTTCAGTTCGGACGATGGCATTATTAACAGTCAGCGTCAGGATGCATTGTTTTGAAACACACCCACTATATGGCGCACGATACACCGGTCAGCCAACCAGGAGAACCGAGTGGTTCTTTGATGGCTTGATCCCTGGACCCTTGACTACTCCGTACTATCGACAAGGCTCCAAATTTGACACAGTCCGCATGGGTCACCCTCATGAGGAGTGTGTGGGGAGTCCTAACCTCAAACACTGGCCGAGTCCCCCGATTTTCAGAATAATCAATGCACTATGCATCACACACTTCCTCACATCACACGTAGATTGATTGATTTTCCAACTTCAGTTCGTTTGTTCCATTCTCACAAGTGGGTGCTCATGCCGGTCGCCGCCCGTTGTCTCTTCTTCTGCTTTCTCTCTTCCACTACCCGTCAACCAAGCGTGGCCGGTCTTGGACGCATACCCGAACCAGCCTTACGTCGCCCAGGTAGTCTGGATCGCCAGCCCTGACTTCTTCGTCCTATCTTCTGATCTCTTGCTTCTGTGTACTTGGGTAAATATCTTCTCCTCTCGTCAACCGTTCATTATACTCGTTGAAACCGTAATCATTCCCTCCTTATTCTTGAACGTTTTCTTGGACACTCGACAAGTTGCGCAGCAGTTCCTGATCAACCTTGTAATCAATCTAGCTGGAGATCGCTGCCGGTTCGTTGTCCAGTCGCAGTATCTCGATCTGGTATATACCCCGACCTGATATATTCGGGCAACCAGACTTACCCGCAATCAATGCTGGGAAGCTCCAACGTTTCGGGGCAGACGATCTCGTCGTTTCTTCTGGGCCTAAGAAAATCGGCCCAATGACTTGATAAGTCAGGTGTTTAGACGATAGGCACGATACACGAAGCTTCACAGCCTCCGTCAGACTGTTTGGAACGTTTCCGGTGAGGTCAATGCATTGCTGGGCATCGCTTCGACCACGAGGCTTCTACTTCTGGGAGACCTGGGGATTTCCTGCGCAAATTTCTGTCAGCCACTCCTCCGAAATATACCTGTTCTTGCCGGGCGCTGGCCTTCGCCGGACAGAATCCTTTGAGTCAAGAAGATATCCGGAACACCTTGCCCCGATCAACATAGCTTGAGGCTTACATATATATCCTTGACATCCCTTCTCCAGACTGGATGGTTTGAGGGGCTCTTTGTCCGGACCATACTTCGAATTAGAGGACCACCATCAAGCCTCTTCCCTACTTCTGTGGAAACTTCAAACTCTGCCTCTGGACTGCAACACTCATCCTGCCTTCGTGGACGGCTTCTTAGGTACTGACCTAGCAAGGAAAGCTTTCAGGCGTTAAGGGGATCTCCAAAGAGGGCCTACAGGATGGATGTAACATCGCTATTGAACTCAAGCACGACAGCTGCTGGGCAGCAAAAGTTGGTGGAGAATTCAGGCGCTGTATCACGAAGTCGAACACCATGGGACGCTGGTGGTTATTCACTACCGATCAACACGATCGCTACCGCGTCGCGATCCATTAACACACAGGCCACACCATCTCAAATGGCACATTCAGCCCCTCGGGAGATTCACCACGATGATTCACACTTGGACATCCAAAACCTTAATCCCACGTCGCCTAAACATAAATCTTCGGACAGCCGAAGTAGTCTGTCCTCATCCACATCATCTTCTTTACAATCTGTAGCACACTCCCGGTTCTCGTCCATATCAACAATTGGCAGCTGTCATCTACTACCGAGTACTTGGTCAGTGGACGGCCCTTCCTTGAAGTCGAGAAACACAACACAACCATTAGACTCTACCTCATTGGATAACAGTAGCGACGCTCGCCCTAGCCCAAGCCTGTCTCCTACAGAAACTCTGGATCCTTTTGCTTCGGTCGCAAAGTATCATCTGTCAAACCGTCAAACTAAATTCGTGAATCAGAGCTCTGTCCCCTGGATCGCTACTTTCGTGAACGATAACGGGTCTTCTACTCTCTCGAGAGAGGATCGATCTAAAGAACAACCTGGTTCTCCTACAGACCCAGACCCTCTAGATACTTTTGCTTCGGTCGCAGAGCATCATCTGTCAAACTATCAAACCAAATACGTGAATCAGAGCTCTGTTCCCCGGATCATTTCTTCCGTGAACAATAACGGATCTTCCAATCTCTTGAGAGAGTATCGATTCCAAGAACGGCCTGGTTCTCCCAGCGACGCTGTTCTTATTAGACGAAGCCCAGTACTACGAGTCAATACTGGAGAAGCCGATCTAAGCGGAGGAGATTACCACCAGCCGTAAGTACTAATTTCTATCTCAACCCTTGCTATTCTTGTCATTTAGTCCTCTATTTGGCTGTTACACTACGTCAACCTATTTTGTCCCTTGGATTAGAAGAGTCCCTGATCAACTAACAGATAGTGCAGAAACCTCAAGTACTTGAGTGCCCTATCAGAGAACTACCACGGATCCACATTACCCAAATCTCACAAACGTTGTGCATCTGCGCCAGATATCACAGTTACAGCAACCGACTTTCTGATGAGAGAATCAACGAATCTTCGGCCAAGAGCCGAACCTACTCCTCCCTCCTCGCGTCATCCAGATAGCGCATCCCCAACCACCACTCCTTCAACTCTTCCCTCGCCTGATACCCCGCCAAGTGCCGCAGCAGATGGCGACGCCAATGCTGTTGTGTGTATGTACATTCCGAACTGTGACACAGGCTCACAGCCGCGCAAGGCCATCTCTCACATATTTGGTCGCAATAAGATGTGTACTAGACTCATCCCTCCACATGTCTGGGTCCATTACTGTCGAAAGCACTATCAGCGAAGCCGATACAGAAATCAAAAGGAGTATGCCAAACTACAATGTGATTTGGTGCAACAGCAAATTCGTCGAGTCCACGAGTGGAGTTTGAACAACATGAAGAATCCTTCAGCAGGAGTTGTTCAGGACTGGGGATTGGCTGTTCGGAAACGCGAGCGACAGCGATTGGATGACCTCGAGGGTGCCAACAGAAAGAGAAACGCCAACACACTTGACCGCAACTCTGATGATGGAGATGAAAACTTCGATGATCTTGCTTGCACCCTAGGTAAGCCACCAGTACCCGCCACTGCAGTCCCAGATTGGCTGTTGGATTTGTGTGGAAAGGGGTACAGCACTCAGGAAATACTGGAGATATTTAACCGACTGCACACTGAGATTTTGAACAACCTGCTGCGGTGCTTCCCGGATATCGAGATCCTTCCTAATATTACTGTTGGCAGCGAGGAGCCGAAATCTCCTAAGGGTTACGCAAAGAGACTCACGGGTACTAATAGTGGCCACCGTCGTTCACAATCTTTAGGGATGGCTATGGACTCGGACCTTCACTCGCCCGACCGAGGATTAAGCCAACCAACTGGTTGGGCTACTGATGATCTGGTGGGGTTCTCGCCTGTTCAGAAGAAAAGACGGCCGAACGAGCGAGTCACAGAAGGCAGTCTGGGGAAGCCCATGCCGCGATTGCCAAACCCAAGAATGGTAGAGCAACCAGCAGATGTTGGTCGGCGTATCCAGCAGCTTGCCCATTGCCCGGTATTCACAGGTATTACTGAGAACGAAGCTGACGAGGACAATTACGAGGAGGTACAGCCAAGAGCTTATCATACTCCTTTGCCTGTATCCCGTCAGCAATCCGATAGCTATACAATGGCTACGCAAGCAGAACGTGACCAAGGGCGTCATAGCTCTAGAAGACAGATGCACAATCGATCCCAGTCTGACATGGGTTCTTTCGGCCAAGGCCAGATGATGTTTTCGACGCCATCTTCCAGCTACTTTGTTGACCACCAGGCCAGATCCTCCAATCCCTATCAACAGGCACGAGTTTCGGCTGGCAATCCTACATTTCTACCTTCTCAGCATCACAGAGAGCTGTCTGTTATGCAGCATCCTACCTCTCCTGTGCAAATACAACAGTCGCCTGGTCCTGGACACGCTCGTCATCAGAGTACACCAATGATTCAGCAGACTCACTCAGTACCTACCACTTCTTGCACACAACCTTTGGAATTACATCCAAATTACCGCTTTACTCAAAACCACACTTATACCTCTCGGCCACATCAAGTCTCGGAGACTCGAGAGACGCGAGATCTATACAGTGCACGACGCTGACTCTTCGGCACATTAAGCTCCTTCGATGGTTTCAGCATGAAATCATTACCAGAGCACTCTTGGTACATTTCTCTTCTCAGGTGGACCTTTTAGAGTCATTCACGGCCCCCATTTTTGCTCTCCTATGAGACCAGGCTGGGTCTATCCCATTTTATGATTGCATGCCGTCCAATTGGGGTTGCTTGCCAGGGTGTATATAGTGGACGCGGCAGGTTATGATATTTTTTTTGGCTTTTTTTTTGGGGGGGG